CGAAGGGCATATCGCATTGCAGCTCAGGCTGCTACCAAATCTGGTAAGTATCAGATGGAGTCGAAATGATAGCAGTTGGTACTGGACCGGACCGACGCCTCAAGAAACTGATTATAATTACTGATATGTTCAACTTTTTTGAAAATTTGAGATTTTCACCATCTCTTAGGCATAAAATATATAATAAACCATAAAATAATACAATACCCATAAACCACCAACAACAAACCACCATCAACACCATAAAATCGTCTGGTTTGCGTTACACAGACGTACGGGATTATTTGGAAAATTTGGCCCCTTCCCGCTATGGGTACAGTACCATAGCAGCTTGCCTAACAAGGTGACATTGATCGTTTTTACGTGATATTTGATTTGTTGAGTGAGGAGACCTAGCTAGTTCGATAGAGATAAAAATTTTGAGCAAGATGTCGTTTTCCAAATCTGCTAATCGTGTACGGTATTTAATAAAAATTAATTTGAAATTCATTAATTTCGCCATCATTCTCCGCCTGATCCGCAGTTTCTGCTCTCTGGGTGTGCGTGAAGAATTCCCACATCAGGCCACCATGGAGATGCTAGTTCGCGTTGCGGTCTAAACCTCGGGTCTGCTGCCACGGTTGGCAGCGTGGCTCCAAGAAATTTTTTCTTGACAATTATTTTTTATTGAATTCCGTACACGGTTAGCAGATTTAGAAAACGACATCATGCACATATTTTTTTTCTCTATCGAACTAGCTAGCTCCCACTCGAAAACTGCAATATCACCTAAAACGAAGAAGGCAGCACGGGGGTTTTGATTTATCATCGGATTTCCTCGATTTTCAGCCCGCTGGAGTGCCGCTGGAGAAGCAAATCATCAGCGGAACACCCGATGACGCTTTGGCCATCGCGAAAAAGTATTTCAACGAACTGGCACACGGCTACTATGTCTCGGAGAGAAATGGGATGGTTTGCGATCTACAGAGAACTTCATCGTATCGACATATTCAGCCGAGGAGAACGTTCGACCATGCGGAATTGCAGACGCTGTTCGACCACGCTAGAAATATCGTCAAGTGGACTGATGGCGTCGCCCGCATCACTGGCGCTACTTGGATCATTGGAGATATAAACGGTGATGTGAGTATTTTGTGAAAACCTGGTGTGTCGGCAGGCAGTAACTTCCGGCCCATTCTACAACTAATGACGTTTCTTCCCGATCCGAAAAAAGCCTTATTGAGATCGTTATGGAAGTGTGTTAGCAATTGCACACACAAACACTTCGGTGCGTGCCGAAATGATAGGAGAATGGAGTTTTTAGCCGTTCTCTCTGCCACCCTGCATTTTTTTACAAAACGGAATAGAAGTGTTGTAGCCTGAATAAAGACGCGCCTTTTGGTCTACTTGAAACGCTTCGACGATGCGGCATAAATTTTTATACGCAATTTAATAAAAATGGACAAAAACCGTAAGTAACAACATGGTAGGGGAATCATTAACATAACATTTCCACCAACTACTTTTTTTCTTTTTGCATCTACTTCAACAACTTTCTGGGTGAATAGTAGATTCTGATTGATTTTAATTCAAGATTCATAGCAGGAAAGGATGTAAAGAGCGTATTTTCTGACCAAAATGTCAACCGGAAGAGGTCGGGCAACATTTGCTTCGAATATGCATCCACTATTCATACAGAAAGTTTCTGAAAGTGATATGTTAATGGCTCCCCTATCATTTGGTCACTTGTGGTTGTCGTCTATTTTTATTCGATTGCGTATAAAAATTCTATCCTGCATAGTCGAAGCGTTTCAAGTAGACCAACGGCTGCGTCTTCATTCAGGCTAAAAGACCTACTATTCGGCTGTACAACAAAATGCAGGATGGCCGAGCGAACGGCTAAAACTCCACTCTACCTATCATTTTGGCACGCGCTGTATTTTTGATAGTTAAAGCATATGACAAAACATCAATTTTTTTTGGCCAAAACCTCAGCAAATTTTCTTAAGAAGTTTTGTGGATCATTCTAGCGATTCTAGCGTAATGTTTCAATGAATTTAGTTCAACGCACTTGTGCGCGTGTTCGCCGCCTTCTCACAGAAGGCTTCCCCAGGACAGAAGTAGGCATTATCGGAGGAATTCCAGCCATAATCTCGACAGCCAAAATCCCTGCAGCCAAATAGGGTTTTTTGGCTGTCGGGAGGATGTTGGAGTTTTCCCTTCCCGGGGGTAAGATATCCAAAATTCCAGTATGCTGTTCCTGGGAGACATTGTCGATCGTGGAAAACGTCAGTTGATGTCGGTAGTGCTGATCGTCTCCGCCTACGTCCTCTACCCAGATAAGGTAGGGTTGCAGCTCTGCCTTATACAGGGTGTCCCAAAAAGCACCCCCACCCTGGCCGGCCGGCAGTCGCATCCGAGTTAGTAATCTATCGAACGCTCTCGAAAAGGGTCCGGCGCGTCTCTCCAATTTTCATTCTGGAATTTTCATAAATTTACTATGATGTTTGCTTACATGCTAATAGAAAGTTTCTTAAAGGGATAGCGAAAGTAAAAATCTGAGTGTTACTTGGACTTCTGGAATTGCACAGATGTTGCGCATCTGCACTCCAAAAAGGCCCTTTTCCGTCCAAAACATAGCCTGGGGGCACGCGTTACCAGATCGGATCCTGGGTGCTAATGCACTTGTGGGGGAGGGGCAGTCCGAATTTTGACTACAAGACGCTCCAATAATTTTTTTAACCTCCAAGCCTCTAGCAAAAATTACGCGTAAGCCTAAGCCTGGGCGTGGCTCATAAAAGCTGGTCGAGAGCTAATGACTTGGCTCAGGGTGCGAAAATCCAAAAGGCGAAAGAACCAAACCAGGGATTACCGAATTGTATGCCCCTTTCCTTCACAACACCTTTTTACAAAGCTATTGGGGTCTGCTGCTGCGTCTGGCCCAGTTCAATAATTCTGTGCCCAAAGGGTCCCCTTTCGCATAAAAGTATTTGCAAATCGAGCAGAAATTGAATCTGAGTATCATCGCAAATACCGCATCGTCTGCGGTCAGCTGGGGGAGGGGTGGGGTTTTGGAACACTCCCTTCTTCCACCTGGGACGCCCGGTAAGGTGAACTCGGATTCCGACTTCTCTATCGGGCTTCACCTTATTGAACAATTGCAGAATTTTCCTACATTCGCGGCAACCATGATGACCCCGGTCCATTTCAGTGAAAACTACCCAGGGTCTTCGACGAGGGCTCGCCGTACCGTATATCGACGCGGTTCCGTCACATTTTGGAATTACTGCCCCCATATACCCTGATTGACAAGCGCATCCCTGGCGATGCACCGCGGCCTTGTGGAGTTTCGAGCGTAAATTCGAGGTGTTTAAAAGAGGCCTCAAAGGGTGCTAAAGATTCTTCAGTATTCAAAAACATTCAAAAATTTGGTGTTGATTTTGAGAAATGGATTCGATTGTCTATAGATATCATTCTTTAAACAAAAAAGAACTCTCAATTACGAAACGGTTTGGCGCAAATATCAAAGAGGCCAGACGGTTTGTCCCCGCGGCGGAACTTGCCAGAACGCAAAGAAACTTCGCCAAAAATCCCCGCTGCCGTCAATTTGACTTAAGCTCCTTCAGGCCCAGAAGTTCGAAACACGAGCTGATTCAGAGACGGATTCGACCACACCGGCCGTCCAATTCGGGGATCTGAGTTCATTGAGACTCTCTCGGGCAGTCCCAATCATCATGAGTCTGGTGGCGATTAAAGAAGCATCCATCTCCCAATTTTTATAAAATCGGTCCACACTTCTGTGGGACGGAGTCTGTTTCCTATTGCGTGAATTTTTTTGCCTTGGGGGAGGGGGAGGGAGAGGGGACCTATCCTGCCCCGTTCCCTCGGCCTGTTAGCACGATGGGTTGTGCGTTCGCTTTGCCGCGCACAAGGCCTGGGTTCGGCCCCCGCCATTGACCAAGTTTTTGATTTTTTATTAAAGCTGGGTGTTGGATACCTCACACCAAATGCAATGCGAAACAAAAGGCTGCAAGCGAAAACCTTCTTTCCGCACAATTCGGATCTTTGCAGGCTGAGGCGGTTCGGTGAAGCTAGACATCAGGCGGCTACCCCCGGTCAGGATATGGTCCGTTTCTTGCATAAGAATCGGTTCAAGCAACAACTCAAAAAGCCCCCAGGTAGCGTTTCCCTGTGTTTTTCTTGCTAGTTTTTTTACTTTGCAGTTGGGATTTGGGACCACCACCCTAGTGGGCTATTTTTTGGCCGTGCCGCGGTTCCTGAGGTCCGTGAAGCTCGGCGTCGACTTACATCGTTCGTGGCCATCAGGTTAATCCTTTTGCGCTAACGGGGTTAAAAGAGACCAGGGTGGCTAATGGGTTTCATCCCACCCCAGCAGGTTTGTCAGGTGGCCCAGTTATTGACAAATTGTGTTTGTATGGTTTTTAGTAATCTAAGTGACCAAAGCTAGCGAAGTGAAAGTGGAAAAACTAACTTTCATTTGCCTTCGAAAAATTTTTGCTTCTTGCCAGTAGTCCAATACGAATTCTAAACAATTTTTATTGCATTTAACATCAGTTTTCAGTTCTAAATGTTCATCACAAAATTCACAGAATTTTCGAAAATTTTTGGCTTTTACTGATATGAAAAATACCTCCAAACGTCAAAATTTTTTCCAAATTTGGTGAATAACTTTCTGGAAGCCAAAAATTGTTAAAAAAAAGCTCTACAACTGCATTATATATTATCAACAAGGTAGGTATCAGGTGAACAAAAACAAAAAGTGGTCCCCCACTAGCAGCTGAGAACCAACATGTTAGTCGACGTTTTGGTCGAAAATCGACAATTCTTGCCCCTAATATCGATATTTCTTTGTATTATTCTTTGAGAAATTACCGCGTCTAGAACAATTTCGTTCGACGCTTTTGCATATTTATTTTTACGAAACCCAATAAGAAAATGAAAAGCGTTTGACGACGTGTATTCCCTTGCTATCTAATTTAATTTAGAAATTGAACACCGGCATGCGGTTCTTTGGTGACTGGCTGATCTCGCTGCACACGACGGGCTTCCGCAGCCCGTCGAAAACCCCGGAGCAGCTAAAGCTGGAGCGCTCATTCTCCCCTGAAGGCACCGCGGCCCGGAAGAAGATCATTGCGGAAGCGGGGGCAGAGCCGGTATAGGAACACAGATATTTCTTCAGACGCCGACTTCGTAAATATTTTTATTAGCGCCGAAAATGCGCGTCGGCGCAAAAAGCGGAAGATCACAATCCACTATAATAATTTTGCTGTGGTCCGTTCTGATCCGTCCGCGGGAAGTCGAATTCAACTCGGAAGGGAAAATGAGCAAGAGCTTATTGGGACTCAGCGCTTTTAGGCCCGGGTCCAGACAGGCAGTCCTGACACTTTCGGACGCCCGGTATTTGGATAATGTTCTAGCAAATTGAACAAATTACTAACATGGGAAGTGCACGACCGGCCCACGAGAAATCGACACGCGACATAGTGGATCTGATAGAATCGGACACGGGGATTCCGAATCTGTAATCGAGAATTTGCTAAATAAAACGGGAAAAAAGTTATGAAGCATCAAAGTTGGCCAAATCGCCAAAAACGGTACCTTTAAGGGCCCGTAAAAACCGGGGGAACGGAATTGAGGAGCAAAGAATTAGTGCATCTTCTTCAGCAGAAAAAGCGCTTTCGAATGAGCTGTAATACGATGCATTTGCAAACATTTCACTGAAAAAGTTTTAGATTCACGGGCAAGGGTATGGCCTGTCAAGTTCATAGAAGAGATTTTCGCGAAATCATCGTAAACTTGAAGTAAGATAGCTCATTCGAAGCGCTTTTCCTGCTGAACAAGATGCACTAATGGGTTGTGGCAATTTCCATTCCCTGGGCCTTTACAGGTCCATAAAAGTCCGATTTTGGGTGATTTTTACCAACTTTGAAGCTTCATAACTTTCTCTCCGTTTTATTTAGCAAATTCTGATTACAGATTCGGAATCCCCGTGTCCGATTCTATCAGATCCACTATGTCTCGTGTCGATTTCTCGTGGGCCGGTCGTGCATTCCTTGTAAGAACGCTTTAAAATAACACTACAACAGGTTTGAGAAGCCGCTTCGCGACTTTTCAAGCGGCGTAAAAGCTAGTTTTTATTTTCCGCGTCCCTATACAGGGTGTCCCGATAAGAAAATACCCATCTAACTCGACCCAGAGAGTATCGGATCGACATGATAGTTATACTATTCAAAAGCCATTGAAACAGCGAGTTTGCAACATTCTTCAAAGTTTTTATTTAAACGCGCCATTTAAACCGTTTCGAAAAGATTAAGGAATGGCCTCTACATCTGGTTAACCGCTACTAGGGTCAATTTGTATGGGTGAGAGTGAGGCTCGCTTTGTAACATCGAAAACACCAAAATTCTTAAACATGGATTTTAAAACATCGCGTATTAATAAAAATATGTTTTTGAAGAATGTTGCAAGTTGGCCGTCCCAAGAGCTTTTGAATGGTGTAACTATCATTCCTCAGGTCCTCGGGTCCACCCAAAATCCGGTTGTATGCCACCTGGATTTGGGTTGGAACGCATGGAAATCAGCTGGATTTCGGGTGGACGCACAGGAAATCGAGTGGAAACACGACGCACGGCAAGTGGAAATCGAGTGGAAACCGGGCGGATCCGGTCGATTTCCAACTGATTGCCGTGCATCCACCCACAATCCGGTCGATTTCCACATCGAATCCAGTCGCATCCGCTACTGGAATTCCGATCGATTCGCGAGCAGATTCGACCGGATTTCGGGTGGACCTGAGGATCTGAGTCCGTGATATTTCTGCGTCGAGTTAGAAGCAGATTTACGCGTAAACGAAAAATAACTTTACGCCGCTTTGCAGGAGATTGGTGGCGTGCTGGTCTATGACGGCAGGAAGTTCAAGATGATCCACCTGATCCCAGTACATCGCTACTACCGCGGTATGCACTTGCTTTACAACAGTGTTGTTTTTTTTATTTTCAGCCCATGAGCATTTCGCTTTTTGACTTTGACCTGAAAATGGCTGATAGGCGGGGTATTTGTGCACAACGTCAACAAGCCGGTGGACGAAGACTTGAATCGATTAAACGATGCAATTTAAGTTCAAGTTTGGATGGCCGCGACCAACGAAGAGTGCGTCGACTACGTCCACTTCGTCGACATGCAGCAACGTATCGTGAAGTGGAAGTGAAAATGAGTGGTGTCTGTGTGTGGCGTGTGCTTAGTATGTCATTAGGGTGCCTCATGGTTTCGGGGTGGCGGCGCACGTCCCAGTGCACGCCTCTAACTCGATGCGGAAGTAACGGATGAAAGCCCTTTAAACGACCAGTTTGCAACAAACTTCAAAACTATGCGTGAATTAAATGCGATTTTGCAACCCATTTCATAAAATTTGCAGTTTTTAGGCGCTGCATATTGTTGGCTTAAATTTGTCCAAGAAAAATGGCAAGAACTTGCCGTTACTTAGATGCAGAAGCCATTCCTTAATGTTTTTAAATCCGTTGTAAAACTGGCGTGTATAAATGTAAATATGGTTTTGAAATTTGTTGCAAACTCGCCATTTCAAGGGCTTCGAATGGTGTAACTATCTTTGTGATTCGATACTTCTGCGTCGAGTTAGGAGTTGGATACTTTTATGACAAAGTGCGATCTCCGTTCGCCCTCCGAAGTACCACACTTTTCACAACGTCACCGACAAAACAGCTCCGTTTTAATACTGCTGAATTCAAGTTTCGCTTTATTTTAAAGTTCGAAGGCTTTGAGGTTTTTCCCTATACGGGTTTCGTGTCGATAGGAGTGCCGCGTTGCTTAGGGCCATATTGCCGCTAAATATATAAAAAAATAGTGTCTGTGTGTGTGTGTGTATATTTGCATGCAACTTCCGTAAGTATGTTACCGCACCTACAGCCTCAGGAGAAGGTTTTTAGGGTATGTTTGATACGTCATTAGATGCGTAATGGTCCCGAGATGGGTGCACACATCTAAAATTTAAGAAAATCGGGTGTTTGCGCTATTAAAATCAAGTTTTTGTAAAGATATCGAGAAACCTCTTTGTTAGGAGGAATTAGCATTGACCGGAAATGGGCGTAGCCTATAAAAAGGAGGGAGGGTTGCGCTTTTCATTTTTTGGTGATCGGCATTCGGCAAGCCCTATGTAAAGTAAAATTTTCTGAAGTCCTAGACGGGCCAGGGGTTGAAAGCCGCTTTAGCGGTTTTCAACCCTGAGTTGCCGCTAATTTTGGGTGGTGTGAGAGCGAGATACAGAAGTTGGGGGTCGGGCTTGGGGGGTGAGGGATCCTGAGCATTACCGTCCACGTTATAGGGTCGTTCGTTTCGGGAAATCGCGAGGAGGCTCCTTATGTTTTCCCGAGGTATTCCTGTGACAGTAACCGTGCTTTGTAGCTAGGACCGGGACTCTTTGACGATGATGTGGGCGAAACTCCTGGTCTGCTCGAGGTATTTAGGCTGCACCGACTTCCTTTGTGCAAACTTCAACATGATGCGTGGACGCAAAGCCTACTTTGCTCTGCGTCACAGGGAAAAAAAATTTGTTTTTTGCGGAATACTTTTAGGTTTGAGAACCAGTAGCGGGTGTCTCAAAGCTAAGCCGATCCTGGCACCCTGGAATTACGGGAAAAACTTGGCGCCCATCGCTAAAATTCTCAAAAACATTTTCATGAACAAAAAAATAATGAAAGGTGCTGGCTCGGTCCATTTATATAGGTTCGGCCACGTCCGGCGGATGTTAATTTTTCCTAACAAACGAGTGTGAGTTTTTTACAAAATCGAAATCTCTTGTCGAAAACAGCTGATTTTGTAGAATTTGCTTTATTTGCAGTCATCTCGGGACCAATCTTGGATTACAGGATGAAGTGGAGCGCGACGAGCAACCAGGAAGGCAATTGCCTAGGGCCGAAGCCGCGGGATCCGTCGACCAAGCCCAATTCCCACACCCCGGCCGTCAATATCGAATTGCTTACGTGTAAACACCCGATGTGCAGCTAATTGTGATTGCTCTTTCTTTGTATTGCGACAATTTATCGGATAAAAGGTGCATTGGGCTAATTCTCGAGTACCCGGCTTCGGAAGTACAAGGCAGAGCTGTGTTTGTTCTTTGGACCCTAAATAAACCTTGCCGTCACACGGAAAACAGAAAAAATCCCCTCGGCATTTGGCCGTCTTCTATCCGATCAGTGGCCAAATTTTTCACCAGTGATGGGGACCCATAAAAACTATGTGCAGCCAAATTTTCTAAGCAAAATATTGTAAACCCAAAAGTTATCGCAAAAAAACTGCTTTTTGGAAAACGCTGTTACTCGTTTTTGGCTATGTTTTCCGTAATTAGCACGCTGATTTTGGAGTAATTTTCCGAAAGAAACAAAAATAATTTTTGAAACTGGTATTAGCATGCTAGTTTTTGATATTTTCCCATTTTTCGATATTTGGAAGACGCCATTCAATAGACAGTCAAAAAATGTTCTAAAAGTTTTAGCTTCATCCAAAAATAGTGTAATATATAAAATGATTATATCAAAAAACAAGATTTAAACCTAGTATCCACATGGGGAGCACCGAATTGAAAGCTGGTTTTCGAAATTTCGGAAAGAGCGTCAAAAATATACAGAGATTTTTAATTACAACGCGGGATCACGTATGGTAAAATAGTTATGGCAAAAAAGAAGCAGTTTACCGCAACCCATTCTTTTTTTTTCGTGCGCGCCTCGAGTAGAAGTCCCCTTAAGTAATAATATTAACCCTCCCCCCCTGCCGATAAGCGTCAAGCACCGTAATGAGTACAACCCTTCCCCCCGATAAAGCGTCAAGCACTGCAATAGTACAACCCTTCCCCCGATAAGCGTCAAGCACCGTAATAGTACAACCCTTCCCCCGATAAGCGTCAAGCACTGTAATAGTACAACCCTTTCCCCCGATAAGCGCGTCAAGCACCGTAATAGTACAATTTTCCCCCGATAAGCGTCAAGCACTGTATTTTGTCCAATTTATTGTAAAGAATATTTATGCAAGTTTCAGCAGAAAGTGAGGGTACATTCAGCGTGCCAAGCCGTCATATCACAGATCGCAGAAGGGAAGCTCTCACGGGAATTACGAAAAAATCACAAAATATTGATCGTGTGGCTGGATACTGTACATTGGGAGAGATAAGCATCTGTTCGTTCGATGCGAATCGTTAATTCTAGGTGGGAATCACAGCTCTGGGATGTAGTGTCATTTGGTGTTCAGCGTACTAGTCCTGCTACGGTACTTTGTCGACGCTCGTGGAGGGGACCTGGTCTACCCGTACGGGCCACTCGCCAGCTACACCGGCAAAGCGCAGCTTCCACCATCACCCGCACGTCCGTCTGGTACTTTTGGCATACTGTAATCGGGTCATGGGTTAGATTTTTGTAGTTTTGGACGTTTTTAGGGAATAGTACATTTTTTTTTGCATTATCGGGGGAGGGGCAGGAAATTTTCCGCTAAATTCAGATATGCGTAGATTTGTTCCTGGCCAGACAGACTTTTAACTGTATTTTTAATCGAGTTTAAACTAGTATTAGTTTTCTTGCGTCTTAAAAAACTCTTTCTTTTTGTAGCTTTTTACTCGAAACTTTGTGGTTCTTAAGCTAGGAATACCACTGAAAAGCGCGGAGAAATTTTCTCCCCCGATAACGGAAAAGCACCAAAAAATCCAAAATTTTGGCTTTACATACCTGACGCTGTTGACAATCCCTTGATTGCCATAGTAAAAAATGCGATTCACCAAGTCGGCCTCGCCAAGGAATTCGTAGTCTGGAAAATAGGCGATAAGGCAATGGAGAAATTGGCTTATTGAGCTTAGGGGCTTCGTTTAGGATTGTTCAAGTTCAAGCTGCTTCTTAGGTTAGGGCTAGGGTTTAGGCTTGGGCTGAGGCTTAGGTTTGGGCGTAAGCTCTAACCTAAGTTCAGGTTCGTCTTAGGCTTAGGCTAAAAGTCTGGGCAGGTTTAAGCCCAGGGGCTGTGTATACATATTTAAGTTGTCCATGCAACTTTCTCTCACCACTGGAGAAAAGACTGTCAATGAGAGATTGCAAGTGGCACGTACTGTGTGGGCCATTGGTTCGTGTCTGAGCCGGTGACCGTCACCGCCGTCGTACGATCCAGCCGCCCCACCGGCACCCAACCGTACCTAAAAAGTATGGGCAATTTCCTGTAGTGCTTGAAACTATTTAGGCGTTTGAAACATTTTCTACGATGATTTGACACCGAAACTGCCACCAGGAAAATTGTCGGCTTCCCCATCGGCTGGCGTGTAGGTGAGCACCTGACTTTGGCTAACACCTGCTGGTCGGCTGTGTTGCTGATCTGGTTGTTGGACTGAAAAAACCCGGGCTTAAAGGGATGCACACCGCAGGACAAACTCAAAAACTCGGCTAAATTATGTACTGTTAACCAGACCTAAGGGGCTGGCTACTACAAGCCGCAACCACTTTTACAAATATACTTATCCGATCGACGCCGCCGCTCGGGTCCATGGTGGTTTTGCCCCAGACGGGTCGCCCGTTGGTGGGGTACCTGAAAACATCAGATGTTCCCATATTCACCCCGCTTCAAGCCCTGGCTTAGGTCTAATCCTCGGCCTACGCCCAAGCCTAAGCCTCAGCTTGGGCCGAACCTAAGCCTGTAGGCCTCGAGCCAACTCTAAACCTTGCACCAAAAAGTCACAAATTCCGCCCTTTCATCCCGTCAAGTCATGCTTCAGTGGGATGGTTCATCGGCACGCTCCGGAAATTCTTACCGGTTTGTTTGAACAGATTCAGCTGTATTTTTTAGTGTCACTGCTTACTTAAACCCGTACCTCATCGCCGAGTGATCGAGTGCCGATAGCCCGATAGAGACGCGCCGAGATGATAATCGTTCATCTGAAATTCAGGATTCAGGCGCGACGGGCCCCGTGGAGCTTACAAAGCTGCTAATGACTTGCGCCTTGGGCTGGATGAAGTCGCGGGAGTTAGGCCGGAAGCGCTAAAATAGGTTTTATTAGGGTCAGGATTAGGCTTAGGCTTAGGAAAAGGCTTAGGGTATGCCTCGACTCAGTTCGGCTTAGGCTTGTGGCAGAGACCTGGGCTTAGTGGTGGGCTTAGACACAGACTTAGACTTTGCTTAGGCTTAGGTAGGCTTTGACTAGTCTAGTCTTCGGCTTCTTAGGTT